AATCATATTTGATTTTTCGCGGATTTAATCGGCGGTCGCGCCGGAATCAGTTCTACGGGAACCTTAACGTCCGAACGTATCCGATTTCACTGGTCGGTATACGAAATTTCTGAAACGAGACTGATCCAATTAATACTATATAAATATATATACACACACACCTACAATAATAGGTACCTATCGATACCGTGATTTATCTAAAAAATTTACGAATTTTAATCCAAACATTTTTTTCTCCGAACGATACCATCAAAAAGTGAAATTCCGAATAAAGTGTAGGTGTAGTTTTCACGATTGTTGCAGCGCCGAGGTCTTCAATCATTTCAAATAGGTCTACGTTAATACGTATCTGGCTATAGTCGACGATATTATTTTTTTATGCTTCATATCCATAGTATTTGCCGAGAGTTTCGCGAACATTTGATTTTTTAAAACTGTTTTCGCACTAATCGAACAGTTCTCGCGTGGACAGGATTTAAAATCGCGTAGATTTTTTTTTTGCTTACAGTACAGTACGGTTACAATACTTAAATATTTAACGCAGTTAAAAATCACATCAAATAATCTACATAATGATTACCTCGTGATCACTCATTCTCCAATGATCTCGTATTTTCACGTGCACATTATTAAGGTTTTTTTTTTTTAACAACGATTGTTTAGTTTAATAAAAGTTCATTCTTTGAAAAATGTTTTTTTTTCGAATCATATTCAAGACTGTTTGCCCTGCGTATAATATATTGCGAGAAGAAACCAACGGATATGATTTTCTTAGGTCCGTTCTCATAATTCAACATTATAATTTTATGTTAAGTTAAGTTTGTAGTTCAGATTTAGAAGTCCCTGGGACTCTATTACCAACCCCTTATGAATGTAGGATCCGTATACGAACTATATTAATTTACTATATGTCCGTATACGAATGGGAAATTCAATTCTTCGACTACTCATATCTATCAACGAAACTTCATTCCTCCTAAATGGCCGTAGGAGAATGTTGGACAATTGAATGAATGCGACAATAATAAGATAATTTTCAAGATAATAATATTACGTAATTTTTTTTTTTATCATTATACTTCTGATATCTCGAAATCTAAAATGTTAATATTTTTAAATCGGATATATGTTGTATATTATATTATTTTGACGCTTTCATTGCTTACAATAGTACAAAGCAGCACTCGAATTGGACGAATAAAAGAATCGGGTCTATACGACTTATAAAAGTTAGCGTCCCTTGCCATTATTGGACTAAACTCAAACCATCATCAATACCCTCAAGATTGAACAAGCAAGATCAATCGTGGACGAATGGTGGATTTTATACATATTTAAGCGCGAATAATTTATTCTATATTTAAAAATCACGTTCGCCTAATGTGTATGAACAATAAATAGTGGTTAAAATAGGATACATTTACCGATACATTTAAATAAATTATGTTTACCAAAAATTGGGGGCGATCCCTAGTCTAAACCTTAATCTAAAAAAATAACTTTCGTGAAACCCGATAAGGACACAAGACTTCCAAAATGTATGTCCGCAAAAATAATAATATGGCAATTGAGTTAAGAAGTATGCTGCACCCCTCTTTTCAAATATGTATTATCCTGCGCATGTGCCTGCTCAATAAAAATAATGTAAAACAGATTCTGCATTTGCGTATAATGTAATGGGTATTGAAGAATTTATTTTTAACAAAATTAATTAGAGCTTTTAAAAACGTAATTAAAAATGTGTCAGTGAAAACGAATAAAGCTTACCCTAGACTTTGAAGACTTAATCTAAACGGGACTAATATTTTTACCTTAAATAAGATTCATTATTAAAAATTATTAATTAAAATTTAGCCTTCGCCCTCACTTTAACCACCGGCCATAAATATTCAATTTGTCCGTGTAAAGGCGTTACTATAGTATGATATCTAAAACATTTAAATAAAAGTAACCGTAACCGTGTGTAGGATACACGTGCAACCGTTTTGGTGTTTTATATTCTGAACAGTGGACGCTACAATCGGATACATATTATATGATGTGTTTTTTGTTTGTATTCAAAATACACGATGGATAAAAACTCGAAATATATCATTCGGAAACTTTTTCAATAAATTATTGAACGTCGGGTGACACTCACACTCTGGATAGGAAATTGTTCGAATTCTCAGCACGGCCGGATGTCCTTCCGGGAAATCGGAATAGCTAGGTACAAATTCAAACGTTAAAATTTAAATATTCAGTGAGTTCTATTTAGCGGAATCGTTGTTTGAATATTGAATGTTTATCGACTAGGTATATATATATACATAAATATATTATGTATACCTAAATTAAGTCTTCGCTTTAAATTGTTTTAATAACAGAAAATATACGCTCAAAGTCGACCCGCTCTTTAAAACTACACACTTCCATATTATTACAGAGAAATTTATATATTTTTTTTTTTTCACACTTTGTTGTACAAAACATAGTAAACAAATATTGTTTTTATATTATTGAATTGAATGTTTCATCTTATAGAGATAGAAAATAAATCTTCACAGACGAAAATGAAAAACAATAAAAAAAAATTTTCACTCATTGTTATACGTACACCTATGTCGGGTTATATTATAGTCGAAATGTAATAACACATTTTAATTTTTCAAAACAATAAATAAATATTACATATATTTATTACGGTTCACATTATTATTTTTTTTTTTTCTACAAAAATCATTTGATATCTTTAGGATACCTACTTAAAACTATATTTAATTATAAATAAAACTGAAGTGCCTTGAAATTAAAGCGCAGTGACGGCTTAGTAGAATTTCACGATGGCGTGGTATTTGATCCTGAAAAAAACTTCTCCAATAACCTCCAAACAAACTAAATGAAATAATGCTCGGGCGCGGTGTACAAAACTCGTAGCTTTTGTTCATTTTGTATGAAACATTTTGTAAAGAAACCGAACCCAATTCATAAAATCAAATTATGCTCATGTTAAAATTATTGCGTGCCGAGAACGCAAATTTAAATTTAAATAACAACTTTTATAATGACTCTAAATTAAATTTTTTTTTTCACTATTATTCCAGTTTACATTAAACAAACTAAATTTATACTATCGAAAATCTGTTACATAATTTTTAAACGATTGGACCGAATAGAAGTGTAATCAATTTTCTCAAACCAGGCCATATTCTTGGGATGAATGTAAGTTTACACGCGAGATATAACCAGCAATAATCACCCATGGCGTGCATACATACGTAAGTTCCGAAACGAATAAAAATTATAAAGAATTCGAATTTTCTTTCCCACTTTATTTAGACTTACGACCGACAACTTAATTGGTGTGGTTAAGATTTGTTTGTTTTTGTATTTTATAAAAAAAAAAAAAAAAAAAATATATTTTAATTGAATCTAGTCATTATTGCAATTTCATTCTATGGAATTGCATACAATTTAAATTGTAATTAAATATCTAGTTAAATTGTATGCGGCTTATTTACCGATGAAACACAATGTAACGCGTGATAGTTAATTTTTATTTCCATAAAACGTTGCCAAATATATACACGGTAAATATTCTCGCGGATTTTGGCGACCCGCGCGTAAACAATCTACAACAGTAACGGTTATTTACTGCTCATTAGTACCGATATCAAATTTTTATATCGAATCAGAATTATCTTTTCCGTAAACTCCCATATAAATATGAATATATAATATAATCGTACATGATAATTATCACAAACCTACTGTCAGTCGTGTGGGTGTTTCAGCTGTGTGTCAGTCAGTGTTCGTAATTTTGTCGGTATTAATATTTATGATATTGATTTTTAAAATGGGAAATGAAGTTCGACGTATTAGTTCGGAAAGAGGAAGAGCTGGTAGCAGTGAATAGGCACACATTTCGATATATCGGACAGCGGGCTGATGGTCATGTCAGATGGATGTGCAGTAAAAAATAGTGTACAGCTGTACCATTAATGTTGACGGATAATTCAGTTATACAAAATAACGAGTGAGTATAACCGCCCTGTTGATTCGGTACAAAAAACGATAGGAAAGTTTTACGAGAAAATTGCAAACCGAAAGCTAGAAGTTTCATATCTACCCTAAAAAATTAATTTAATCTGAACTTGTGGACAGAGTAAGTACCGCATAAGTGCATGCAGATATAAAATCGGTTAGCATATGCTATGCGTATTGAAAGACGAAAAAACTTCATTTTGCCATTAAAAAATTTACCATTTACCAATTAAAATATTGTTATAATATTTATAATCTGGTAAGTCTTTGAAAGGTCAAAATCTTATTTTATATATTATTCTGGCACTGCACGCAATCGTATATCTAAAAAGGTAAAACGCGCGCAACCGTATATCGCGCCCAATTCTCCATACCTACTTCTCTATTCATCAAACTTCCGTCCAATGCTTTTTTTATTACATCTTTCCGTCTCGTGTCAGTTTGAGCCTTCAACCTTCTCGAAACTATAATAATTGCCGGTCTCAAACAATGTAACATATTTTTTTTTTTTTTTTTTTTTTACTATAACCGTAAAAATAGGTAATTAGTTATTTATTGTTCGTAAAAATCCGTATAATACGTTTTATGAAACTATGAAAAATAACTTACGTCCAAAGTTAGCATGACGGTAATTAAGTTATATGAATCGTGCGAGTGAGCAATTAGTGTTTTACAGTAGGTATAATGTATTTATACTCGTCTCGAAATACAGTTTTTGGTGCACTTAATGTATCGTATACTCAAAAGGCTTCAAGCAGTAACTTTATGGGTAATTAACTAGGCACTATAATTACTAGATTTATACTGGTTTATAATATTGTGCCGGTTCGAACCATACTTCTCGGCGTGCAAGTTTTTGCCATACATTTTACTATACCTAAATTATAATATATATACTGGAGAAATTACCTCGAGTTTTGTGTTATTTTCACGTATAATAATAATAACAATGCAATGTCGAGTATCGGTTCCATATGCATTTTAACCGTGGTAGATATATTATTCATCACAATTCTGTGCTAAATTGATTATCGAAATAAAGGTAGCTGCGGAAAATATTGATTAAATGACGAGACTGGTGGATCGGTCTGTCGTGGACATGAATGTCTGTTGGAACTGGTTGAAAAGGATAGCGTTATAGAATAGAGGGAAACGCATAAGTTGGAATATATACGAGTAAAAGAAATTACGAAAGTTCAAAGATGCGATTCGCGTATTTATTACTGAAAATGAAAACTGATGAAACTCCAAACGAATCTGATGTTAGAAAGAGAGAACCGTATACAAGTTTTTAGTTCGCTACCTACTTTGTGAAATCTATACCGATGATGGGCATTATTCATAATAACAACAATAATCTATAATAATCAAAGAAAGTGTTGTGTCTGCGTGCGATCTACAGGTGAATCTGTTGTAAGCAAAAGGTTTAACGCTTGTTTTTACAAAAGTAGACGAGTGTGTACTTCGGTGGCGGATTTTTCACATGCTCGGTATTATGATACGATAATATTTTATTTTTATTTCTGGGTTGACCCAATGACACGGATGAAATAAAATGAGAAACAGGAGAGACGCGTTAAATTGAATTTTGTTTATGGATTTCGGTTTTTGAAAGATTTGTTTTTTTTTAATTTGGCACAGACAACATCGGGCGGGACAGCTAGTATATCAAATATTATGTAGGCGTGAAAAATAATTAGATGATTATAATTCAGACCCTCATGTGTTTAATGGTTGCAACTTAATGACACAGTGACGTAATTTAATATTGGTAGCCGCGTGTTGAACCTTTTCTTTATGTACAGAAGTCGTCCGTTATTTTAATAATAATTATGTGTACAAAAATAATGATAATATTATAATATTCGGATAACCAGATCGATCAGTTCGACCCGTGTAGTGAAGTGATGAAAATTCTGAAAATAACTTGAACTTTACGTGATATGAATTCAATGTGAAGTATATGTACCTAATCGGTTAGATGAAGTCATATGTAATAGACCTATCAATCACTTTTCCAAATTTCGGGTTTTAATTTCCAACAATTTGATTTGAAAATATGCAGTTAAAAAAAAAAAAGAAACACCTCAATTAACAAAATTAACTAAATTGACAAGGAGTGACCAGGCCGATCTTATCTTCTATTTTACGGTAATTTTAAATCCGTTTTCATCTTTTGTATTGGATAGAAACATGTGTAATTTTCAGAGGAGGACAAACATATAATTTAAGTCTTATTTGTGGACATAGGAACACAATACCTATAAAAAATGTTATGGAAATATTAAGAGGCATATTTTTAGCGCCCTAAGGCACTTTTCGTTAAATTTCCAGTTACACATTGTACATTTTATAGGAACCGTACACTTTGGGTTTTAAAAGACTCCGCTGAGCGAGTGTAAACTGAAGGATAAGGTTGATATTTAAAAGAAAAAAAATTGTTATTTTACCATGTCTTAAATGGTTATGACACTTTGTTGGATATGGAGCCCGGGACTAATGCCACTTTGGAGACCCTCCCAATTACGTCACAGGATATACGATAGTTTCATTACGAGAGGACGAATCGATTATCATGTAGGCTGTGCGTCGAGGCTTAAGTAAAACAAATAAGTATGGGTTTTAATATATTCCGAATGGAGGGAGGTATATCTCCTCTTTGTTCCACTCAAGTGTATGTCTATGGGCCAAAAAAAAAGTCGGTTCAAGTTGCTAAACTATGTTAAACAAATAGAGTAGATATCGGTATCTATCAAATCCCGTTAATAATATTCTATACAGTCGTATTTTTGGACCTTAAAGCGATTAAAAAAAAAAAAAAAAAAAAAAACCATGGACCGTAAAATATAATATTTTTTTACGCTCTTTTAGTAAATGTATAGATTGATATTACAAACTAAATGATCTATGTTTATTTTTGGCCAGATTTTATCCTGAACCGTAGCTATATATAGACTATATTATAACAGACTTATAGACTTTGCGAGTGTTTTATGAAATAACAATTTGTACGCAACGCAACATCACCGTCCGTCGATACGATTTATTATCCATTTGACCGTACAATAATTATAATAAAAAAAGAAAATCAATTTCGACCCGTAACTATCTATACATACATTACTTCACATTTTCAAATAAAGAAAAAAAAGGTATAGGTATATAGGTACTTCATAAAAAAAATAACAACAAAAAACAATTTAGCGCCGTGTAAACAAAATGAATACCTATACTTTGATTTATTAACATAATTTTTTCGAACACCGGTATTTGACATATTAATAATTAATCTAAAAACTTTATGCCGCTCGGAGAAATACTGATTTTTTTTCATATATACAGAGTGCCCTACAGTGTTACCGAATGATAATTGCTCTGTAAATGTTAATTTTTAATTTTTTTGTTCAATCGAGTTTGGTGTCAGTGGGAAGCAAATGTAGAGAAAAATTAAATTTTTGTTTTCATCCCTTAATCACTGAAAAAAAATAACTATACGTTTTGACTTTTTAAAATTTTCAAAATTACTACTTTGTAAAATATATTATTCTAAATATTTTAATGTATCATTCTTATACATATGTGATCAATATTTTATGAGCAATACCCGTTTTAATTTCTAATAGATTGATGTGAAAACACTTAATTTTCAAAAGAACAACACGTTACGCTATAAGGAATCACAATCAACTCGGTAATAATAATTCCTTATCTTTTATTGAATATTAATTGTTTTCACGCACATTTTCTTAACACGGCTTATGTATAACTATTAATTGCTTTTGTTGTAAATTATCAAGTATTATGACGTTTGAAAAGTGGTGAAATGGAAGTTTGGAGTCTCTCGTTATTATCAAATAATCACTAAACAATATAATACGGTATACTTTAAAAGGTTTTTTTTTGTAATTTTTTTATTATAATAAATACAAATCAATGTTAAATTTATATAAAATTTAATTTTTAGTTAGATGTCATATAAATTATGATTTATATCAATCATATGTGTAAATCAAATTTATATTGTATTATAATAGTCGCTCAGTTCACAACGCAAATGAACCAAATAATGTCTAATAATGTTATCATACATTCGTACCTATGTTATTACAAGACGATTTAAATAATTTCAATGGTTGTTAAAATTGATTAAATTTTCATGATTGAAAAAAACACATCGTTTTTTAATGGTCTCTATAAATATAGATGAATATATCGGATAAACATTTTTTTTTTCCAGAAACGGCAATCCCATAACTTAAAAACATTGTTTAAGAAACATTAATTTACTTTCCTCCACTGTTTTCAGAAAAAAAAAAACTCTATCTATATTTGGTATGATAAGTATATAACTTTTCTGAATTCAATAATCCTCATAACTTTTAAACATTTATACGTTTCTTTCGTTTTTTCACAGCTGGAATACGTCTCGTTAATCTGGGTGAACAATAGTACAGCAATAAAATTATAGGAATCTAAAACAAAAGTTTTCCGATTTATTTGCTTTAAATTTAAAATACCAAAGTTACGCTGGTCATAATGATATTCTAAATTTAAAATCTTTAAAAGAAAGGGGCATAACTCTTGCACCTCATTTCTTAATAAATGAGTGAAAAACAATAATTCCGACCTCTTTCATTCTTAGCCTTATCAATTTGAAAGTCAACCCACGTAGTACAATACGTAACGAATGTCTATTTTATCCGTATCAAATTAAAAACTATTTGGTTTAGATTTTCTATAAATAGTTACTATAATGCCTGTAGGTAATGGCTTAACTAACGCAATTTATCATCTATTATGTTTATAACATACATCAGGTTATACCGTATCTATATTATCTAGCTACTCATAACTATCGTGTCATATATTTCATTGTTGATTGGATGTATTATGTTGGTAATATTTAATGCTACGAAAATAATTAAAATGTAGGTACTTCATTTTTAGTCACGCAAAACGTGTCCAATCCGATTCTATAATTCGTAATTTGTGTTATAATATCAATTCGTATAACGTATACTTTTTTTGATGGAGAGGGGGGGGGGAAATCAGTCTTTGGAGACCTGTCTTCTTTTAAATGTATACGGTTCTGCGTGGTAACGTCGTTATTAACTGTGATCGCGTGGAACATGGGGGGCTTTGCGTGTATCAACAAAAGCGTAGATATTATCATGATTATTATTTGTATTATTTTTTATCAACGCCCGCAGAACAAACGATAGGAGATTTTGTGGCGCCGGATCGTTAAGTTCGAACGCCAGAAAATAATATTTAATGGTCAATAGCGTGTGCCGCTTTAGTATTATTTTTATCGCGTATAGGATACTTTTTTAAAAAAAAAAAAAACAAATATTAATATATTTGGAACATTTATCATCACGAATCAGCAACTCACGTTTTATTATTATTATTACTTTTTTTTTTAAACGGGGAGGGGAACAATTATTTTATAATATCGGGCTAGCCGTTAACGTGTTAGGTGTTATCGGTTTTAAAATAATTCAGGCCGGAGGATATAGGTATAATGAATGCATTTTAAATTGTTTTTTTTTTTTTTTTTAAACCTATTGTATATTTTTGACTTATCGAACTGCGTAAACCGCAATCATATATGAATAATAATTTAACCACCGAGCGTTTAAATTTATTTAAATCCTATAATGTATAAATAAATACATCATTTATATCAGCGCGTGAATATCCAGTGTAATCATTTGTTCGCGCGAATATTCAGGCCGGATGACTTTGTATTTATTTTCGGTTTTCGGAAGGTGACAAGAACTTAAAGCAAGCACACACTACAAACTTGCGAATGACATTCAGTTACATGCCAGCGCGGACACATGCTGAATACAATTTCGGTTGACTAAAAAAATCGACAAACACAAACAAAAGAAATCAAAAGGGTATCTTGATTACCTTCAGATCAAAAAATCGTCCGGCAGTGTAATCGGCATTGCGTTTTATGCAAGTGCGTACACTGCAAACTAAATTAGGATGCTCAAACGTCCTGTATTTTAAAAGATCCTACTTTATTTTAATTAAGTATCCTGTATCCTCAGCAGTTGCAGAAAAACAACCTACATTTCCTGTATAGGCTGTACATACTACCTATATTATGAAAACGTCACTTATGATACTGGAATATTCTATTTGCTTTTGTTTTGTAGTCTTACAAAGATAAAAATAATAATCTGATTTAACATTATTTAAATGGTTTT